CCCAGGCCAGCCCCTCTTTTCAAACTGGACTCAGTGAGCTCACTTATTTGACTCCATTAACAGCATCTCTCTGTGGGGACCCTGATGACCTCCTGCTTCCCTTCCCCCTTTCAACTGCTCAAGTAATACTCTGCCAGCAGAGGAGCATTTCCATTTCTTTGAGATTATCTAATCTGCTGCCATTTCATCATGAATTTCTTTTATCATTGTATGAGCTAGATGGGCATTTTTTCTTTCTTTTTTCCTTTTTTGAAAATCATTTCCTTTCACTGACAAACCATCAAATGGATCAGAGGGAGCTGCCTTTTGCTAGAGTATGTCAGATTTCTGCTTTTTCCTTTGTAAACAGATTAGCCAGTCATGTGGTGTACCTTCCTACTCAGAAAGGCAGGAAGCTGGGAAAGGCTTGAGTCTCTCTGTCTATCTCAGATTCAGCTACTGTCATTTTGCTGAAATGTACAACCTCGATTATCTGAAACCTTGCTGTCTGGTTCCCCTCTCCTTTTTGCTGGTGGGGACAAGGGCATGACCTCCGAGGTCTGTTCGTTTCCACGAGAATTCATGGACGCCTCCACTCCTAGAGTTGATTTGCGTTCCCTGTGCCATTTGGATAATCAAAGTTGCACTACATTTGGGAACGCCGGCCCTGCCGCCTTTGATGTGATGGAAAGGACAGGGGCACTTAGGCCTAGATGGAGACGATGGGGCTGTTGGGAGGGGCTGTGCAGCCAGGGGTTGTGCCTATTCTGGGTTTTTTGAGGGGAGGGAGGTTTTAATGCATGTGAGGCCAACTGGTGGTGGGGGTTCAGGGCAGCCAGTAGCAGCAGATGGGAAAAGTCTTGTAACATTTAATGCTTCTTTGGCTGTTTCTAAACTAGGTGTCAATTCACAACAGGCTTCAAACGTACCAGCACAACTCCACCCTGGGGCCCGAGAGTGGAATGCAGCCCAGCACGCGTCTTAACATGCCACGGGAGCGGCTGGAGACAGCACTGGTGCCCTCGCACCCCGCCTCGGCGGGGACACTTGTACAGTGCCAGCAGATTGTCAAAGTCATTGTCTTGGACAAGCCGTGCCTCGCTCGAATGGAGCCGGCCCTCAACCAGACTCTGACACGCTATGTCACCTCTGATTCCTGCACCTCCACCCCCTGGCGTGGTATGGGCAGTGGGCTCCCCGGGACCCCCATGAAGCTGGTCCATCAGCCTCCCCTCCCACCTCCACCACCTCCCTACAACCATCCCCACCAATATTGCCCCCCTAGCTCCCTGCTTCAGAGGCGCAGGTACTCCAGTGGCTCACGCAGCCTCGTGTAGCCACACCACCAGCACCAAAACAGCACAGACTTCCCTGCTTCCCTGCCCCACCGCCTCCTGCGGACCCTTTCTGCCTACAGAGATCTAGTTTGTGATTTATTTTTTAGTAAAAGAAGAAGAAAATTAAAAAAAAAAAAGCCAACTGACCTAAATCTTACCCTGTCTCCTCTCAAGATGATGCTAATTGGGAGGAGCCATCTTTAGAAACTGCCAACCTACATGCTCACACATCTGCACACCCTGCCAGCCCAGCTGGCCTCCCGTGCTCGTGCCGTCCCCGTGTAGCACTTTGCTGCCCTGTTCCTGAGAGGCTCGATGACCTGCTGCTTCGTAGACACTGTGTCTTCCGTTTGCTACTCCTCAACCTCCTTCCCTGCCTTGCATTTACCTGACCATAGGTTTGTTCCTACCCTAAAACTTCACCAGCCTCGGAGAGAAACGGACTCACCCGTGCCAAGGACCGACCTTGGGGCACTCCTGGGGGTGGAGTTCCCCCTGCCACCACTGCTGCTGCCTGCTAAGCTGGAGCTGAGAACTTGTACCACTTGCCACGCTTTCTCCTCATCGCTCTTCAAATATTATCTCCTTGCAGCAGCCGGTTCCAAGTGAAGGAGTGCATGAGTGAAGGAGAGCTCAAGAGGAGGAGGGACTGTCCTGAGCTGCAGTACAACACAGAGATGGCCTCACTCTGAACACCAAAACTCTTTCTGTTGTTACATTGGAGCATTGTACGAGAGACCTCTGCTGATACCTAGCAGACCTCATCACATGTAAATACACCTGTATGGTAGCGTATGTATGGCGCATGCTTACTAAAGGAAACACCAAGCAGTTTTGAGGGAGCAGAAGGGAGTGATTAAGTCCAGGGATCTTCCTGGAATGGATGAGTACTTTTCCAAAGAGATGGCACCAAGAAGTGCCCTCCTGCCTCAACACACACACACCGCCCACCCCCCTAAGATTGTCTTCTCTAGCATAAAACAGACCCACCTCTGCTTTCCTCCTTCTAGCTGGTTTTGTGTTTCCTGCCCACCTGCTTTTTTTACCTGATGAAAGCAAAGCCAAGTGTTACTTTCACCTTCTCAGGTGGATGTCCCCTTCACTTGGGCCCTTCCTCCTGTGTTAGAGGGAAGGGGCTTTTTGGAGACCACCTATGTGAGGTCCCATCTGTATCTCTTGCCTGGCTATACTCTTACCTCCATCAGCCCTTCCTATAGGAAAGCTGCCCAGATACCAGACTCCAAGGCCTCTTCTCCTCTCTCCTTCCCTATCCCAGCTTCAAAGTGAGGGGAGGGGAAGATCCTGAGATAGAGATGACAGCTCAGCTCCTCTGCTTTATTGGGGACATTGATGTGAAGGAAGACATCATTAAAAATGGGCTATGGATGTATTTTTAGAAAAAAAAATCTCTTTGAGCAGTGGGGAGGGGAAGGTATTAATTAGCTTAAAGGCTTTGGTCTCGCTCACTCACTCTATCTCCCTTCGAGGTTTAAGAAGATCAACTTTAGGATTTTAAAATAGGACAGAATGCCTTTTAAGGCCTTTATTTTTATTTTATTTTAAGAAAGAAAGAAAGAAATGCTCTTCCTTCCCGTGCAAGGCTGAGGCGTGAGCACTGGGTACTGATGACACAGCCATTGGGCAAAGAGTGGCAGGAGTTGTTGGTAGGGGATACGCAAAATGTCAGGGAAAGGGGGACAGTGAAGACAGATGCAGGAAACTCTTTCTTATCTTGTGGGGTAAAAGCCACACAGCAATTTCCTTAGAGATTTTGCCAGTATGCTCATCGCTGGGGCTATTGCCAGTGACAAAACCCACAGTGCATCAGGGACTGGCTCCCCTCAGTTCTCTTTGGATGTCAGCTGGCTCTGCTGAAATGTTCAGATGAAAGAGTTCACATATTTGACCTTGGCATAAGCCCAGCTGGGGTTAGGGACACGGACAGAGGCTGGCGTGAAGGGTCTTCTGTACTTGGCCAGCTCTCCAGGGCAGCAGCCTGCTCTTTTCCAGGTCCTTTCATTTCTGAGCCTGACCCACATACCCAGTTGTGCCAACAGGTCTGTCTAAGTTGTTTGTTTAGCTGTCTGGAGCAGGGCACTAGGCTGCTGCTTTTATGTATGGAGCGAGCCTATAGGAGGGCTACCAAGGTGGTCAGAGGGTTGAAACACCTTTCCTACAAGACAGGCTGAGACAGTTGGGGTTGTTCAGCCTGGAAAAGAGAAGGCTCCGGGGACACCTCATAGTGGCCTTCCAGTACCTGGAGGGGGCCCACAAGAAGGCTGGGGAGGGACTTTTACAAGGCCCTGCAGTGATAGGATGAGGGATAATGGTTGGAAGCTGGGAGAGGGCAGGTTTAGACTAGAGACAAGGAAGAAGTTCTTCACCCTGAGGGTGGTGAGGTGGAACACGTGTCCCAGAGCAGCGGTGGCTGCCCTCTCCCTGACAGTGCTCAAGGCCAGGTTGGATGGAGCCTTTAGCAACCTGGTCTAGTGGAAGGTGTCCCTGCCCATGGCAGGGGGGTTGGACTAGGGGATCATTTGAGGTCTCTTCCCACCCAAACCATTCTGTGATTCTGTGATTCTATGATTCTATGATGATATCTGCAATAGCAAATGTATGGACCGGGAGCCAACAGGCACAGTCCAGGGAGGACCACAGAAGCAGAAGACAGAAAAGATTGTAAGAAAACCCTGAACAGAAGCCCAGTCTCCCTCCAGACCAGAGAATCTTTCTTCTAGACAGCCCCTCAGGGCAGTGAGGATGCTCCACATCTCAAAGCTGGGCCCAGGGAGAGGTGCTTACCCCAGCCAGGGCTCAGCCCCTCACCCTCCAGCCAGCTGTGAAACTGGCCTGATCTGCTGCTGGCTCACTCCAGGGTGACACCCCGCCACCTCACGGCAGCCAGGATCTCATCTGACCTGCCTGTAGCTTCCTGGGAAAGCATACATGTGGCACCTGCCATTGTCTGGTCGATGTAGTGTGTGGCTGCCATTTTATTTTTACTGACTGCTGCAGTGAAAGGGGTGGTATCCAGGAGGCACTGGCGCTGCCCTCCCTTCTCAGTGGTTACTTTGCTGTCTGAGAGGAACGGCAACACTTGTTTGTTTGTTTGTTTTTTTCCCAGAGTGCAGTGAGACACTGAAGGTCTCTGTGTGTGCTAAAATAAATTAGATTTTACTTGACATTTAACACGAAGCGACAACAACAAAAACTTAAGGTACTTGATGAAATAATTTTTATAGATAAAATATTTATAACAGTGTCTATGAAGTTCCTACAAGAGAGGTTTGCTGCTTTAATAATTGATTGGGAGAGCTACAAGAATGTAAAGAAGAAATAAGGAAGCTTCCATGAGACTCCCTTCTTCACGCTGGATGAAGGGCGGAAGCGAGTTAACTGAAGTGCCAAGGTACCTGAGGCACAGTCTCTCAGGGCAAGTTGGCTCCATTTCCCTGACCTTGCAAAGGCTAATGCTGGCCTTGAGCTTTGGACAGAGAAGAAAACGTAGCTAGCCCTCGCTGTCTTCTAGCCTGGTGGAAACAACATCTTCTGTTGGATTTAGCTGGAGAGATACAAAACTACCGTATTCCAGATTGTTGTGGAACAGGTTGGTCTAAATTCTACTGTGTAGCTGAACCCTTCAGACTTCACTTCAAAATATGGATTTTTTTTTTCCTTTGAAGGTTGGTCTCGAAGGATGACGAGCACTTTAAAGCATGTCTGCACCTCATCTGATCTATTGTATTGTCTGCTCCCACAGCCCTCCCGCACACAAGACAGACACACAGACTCAGTGTAGCTGAAGTACTGTGAACAGACACCCTTGCACACAGACTGATAGCGAACAGGGTGCAGGCTAGAAGGAGCATGTCAGTGGCAACCTACTGAAGGACAAAATGGATATACCGCAGCTCGCCTGGAGGAAGCAGCCCAAAGAAAAATCACCAGCTCTTGACAGCAGTGATTCTGATCATGAACCTAGCACAATCTTTCAGGTGGAGGGATCAGGCAGGAAGCTGCAGCAGAGATTAGATTGACCCAAACGAACCAGTAGCTTTTTGCTGCCAAAGTCATATCCTTCTATATTAAAGAAGGAAAGGGGGAGAGAGAAAAGAGAAGCCCAGTAAAAAGTATTCTGCAGTGAGTGTCGGGTAGTCAGTGGCCAAATAAGAAAGTGGCTCTGCTGGATGATGGAAGAGAACAAGGTGTTACTGACGTCTGCAGAGCTGCATTACACAAACTGTCAGGCTCTGTCCTGATTCTGTCTTGCTCATGCTAGTGCGGGTCCAGTGAAATACATCTGTTTACACCAGTAGTAAAGAAATGGAAAAATGCACCGGGAGAATCAAACCTAGTGCAAACAATTTGGGTTTAGGGAGTGTTTGTCTGCTGCTGTAGTGCTTTTAAATGCCATAGTCTGGACCACTGTGGTAGCATCACTTAGTGCTTTATGCAAGATCTTCAAAGCATCCCACCGTTCACGTTTTCTCTCCTCCCTGTAGATGAAAGGTGTGGGTATGGTCCACACCCAGAATTTCAGCAATGCTCAAACTTCTTCACAAAAAAGTACCACCAGATTTGGAAGCATTTGAGGGCCTCTGAGCTGTAAGAGTTTGAGTTTTGTTATATGTTTTTCAGAAGGCTCAACCTGCAACTATCTGCACGTGTTTGTGAGGTTTCCAAAACAAATCAAGGAAGCTGCTGCTTGGCAGAGCCTCTGCTTTGAAATGCAAGATGCTGAGCAAGCTCCTCCTTCTCCCACTCCACCAGCTGCCTCACTGTGCTAGTGTAGGCTCCAGGGACTGCCGGCAGTGTTTTGTGAGCTAGAGCTGTCCTTGTCCTGCCTGCTCTTTCACAGCCGTGCCCAGGACAGCAGCTTTGAAGTCACCCAGCTCTTCAACACTAGTCACAACCCCATCTGAATGTGTCTTTTTAAAAAACTAACAACAGAATTGTTACCTGTGTGTAGGCTTTTGAAAGCACCTGTCTGTCTGTACCTGTTTCCTGCTGTAACTGTCACCAAGAAAAGCTTCCCTTGGGAAAAGTGGTGTGGTCACACCTAGCAAAGAGTCCAAATGGCTAATATTT